AAAATCAGCAAATAAATATAAGACAAAAATCTGAAAAACACTTGTTCCGACTAAAAATAGCCTTTTTATACTCATAAGAAATAATATAGGCTAAAAATCTGATATCAAATTTTATAAAAGCTATATTGAACACTTAACTGGTAACTTTACAAATTATTATTTTTCATATATATATATATATATATATATATATATATATATTGAACAATAAAAAATATTAAAAAATTAAGATTTTCAGACACAGTGCGTTGTATATTTTCGTTTTACTTCAAAATTCACTTAATAGAAATGTGAAAATTGCACAGATAATTTCATTCATCTACTAGAATGAATATTATATCTCTTGATATTGAGCACTCTAATTTATAAAGACTGCTTGCCTTAAAAGCGTTATCTCCCAAAATGTCACTGGTCAACTGTTTTTTCTTTCTTTTCTTTCCTGTTTTTTTTTTTGTTTGTTTTGTAAAATACAGCATGTTATATAAATGCTAATTTGATGGCATCCTTATTTGAATAGTTTAACAAATATCAATCGCGTCTTATATGAGAACATAAGCCATGTGCTTGTCGACTCCTTGTGCTTTTATCTTGATTAACTCCATAACACTTTAATTAAATGTAATAGGAAAGCGGGTTTTATATTCCGTTTAATACGGCCATTATGTGTTACACAATCGCGTATTAGGCTAGAGATCATATGACAGCAATTTGCTAACCTATTAAAGCTTAATTTTCATTCGGTGCCCCATTATCGAGGTCTTGTACTAAAAAAAAAACCCAAAAAACAAATCTCGTAGTTGGGAATACTCCAGTTGGCGCAACACAATCATCCTATTCTCATTGTGTCTCCTCGATATGAATTTGTTTAGTTTTGCTTCAATCTTCAAAGACATTTTTAAGCGGTGAACTGTTCGTTTTTTAACCTTATGGATTTTTTTTACAGTAAGTTTCACCCTGTACAAGGCCCGGGGGCCACTCAAGGTAGAGGGTGAACTATAGGTTAGTTTATATGGATAGGAGGGGAAGATAACGGTTGACTCTAGACTTGAACAGGTTAAAATTGTAGTGATCGGGGTAAACATCCTCAGGGTAGTGGTTCGCGGAAAGAAGCTGTTTGGGTGGAACATTCTTCTCACCGATGGAATACGGAGAGAATGTGGGTGGTTTGCTACGATGTAAGTGTCATGGCGGGTCCTAGACGCGAAGATTAGACCTGGTGGAACTAAGGATTGTACTTCGTCCGAGCACTTTCAATGGTAGAATCGAGAGGGCAGCGAGAGGTTTGCTACATCCTGCCTGTGAGAGAGAGAGGTTGGAGGGTGGGTAATAATTCGTCATCAACAACGACTCGGAGGCGCTGTTGGAGTCTATCAATTCTAGAAAGTGAGGACTTGGCAGCTCCCGCCTAAATATGGCAACAGTACTCCATTTTCGGCCTCGTGGTTTCACACTTTGCCTTTGTAGACGGTGCACGTGTTTCTTCGTTCCTGCTGAATAATAATAATAAAAAAAGAAAAACAAATTTAACAAATCACCTGACTGAAAATAAAGAAAAAGAAAAGGCGGCCTTATCGTTCGAAATCTCTTCTTGCAGTGATAAACGCCGAGAGCCGCACGTGATTTGACGGTGAAGTACAGGTTGAGAGGATCAAACTTAATTAAATCTCGAGTTTATTTTCTTCAAAATCTGTGAAACGAATTGACAAAGAAAATCATGTTTTTGTCCTTTTAAATTATTAAAATTAAATCCTTTAAAAATCAATTTTTTTTATTTTTTGAGATCTTCTTTGTGTCACTTCAGCACGTGGTGGACCATGGCTCTCCACAACTTCCCGTCCTTTTTAGCTCTTAGTAAGTTTTGCCTTTTTGCAATTCCTGTTCTGTCAACCACTCCCGCAGGCTTGTTAAGCAAGTTATTTTCTGCTTTCCTCTGTCCTTCTGGCTGTCAATATATCTTGTGAGTGTGTCATTCCCCAAGCACCTTTCTTCATTATGTGTCCGAGAGATTTCAACTCTGTCTGACTGATTCTAAGCATAAGGGTCCTTTTGGATCTATTAAAACTTGTTTCCTTAAAATTTCATCGTTACTCACATATTCAGTCCATGGTATTCTCAGCATCCTTCTGTAGAACCACATTTCTGTTGCTTCATGTCTCTTCATCTGTGAGGTGATTGTCCATTATTTGATACCGATATTACATAGCATTTCATTACCCTTTTTTGTTTCTAACTCAATTTTCATGTTTCTTTTTTGACTTTTGCAAGGCATCTTTTTCTATTCAAATGAACCCTTGCATTTCGGTGTTGCACTTTCAGAAATATATGAACTGTTAGGCAACGGCTTTTTCAGATCAGTGGTTAAAATGACTTTGAGCGACGGAATCTTGTGGGTCTTAGAGAGGACCACATTTCTTCGAATCCCGTAAACTGGCACTATACAATCATAAAGATCTGTAACAAATAACAGAAACCACATCACTTGAGAAATTTTAACGGGAACAACGGCTAAAATGGATAGCACATGTAATTCAAAGAGAAAATGATGACATAATCAAGATGTTGTCATTCCACACAACTTCAAATAAAACGCTAGGAAGGAAACCTCCATCATTACTGGAAAGAGTGATAACAGCTACTGGGCTTGAGAAACCTATTTTCCTTAAAATTTATTTTAAGAGAAAGATTTTCTAAACTTCAACCGACAGTGATACTGGCTGGTCGGTCAATTAAACTTATAAGGAAACAAGTATTATTACCGTTACCTTTATTTTTTTCCTTTCGCTGTTAAAACAATTCTTAAATATATAATTATTTGTACTTGCTTCATTTTGCTGTCTCAAAGTTGTAATTCGCATTTTAAAAGGCGTTCCTTTTGCTGACAACCGTAAATAATGTCTTTTTACAATTGATGTTTAGTCCTTTCTTCTTGCTTTCCTTCATTACCTTCTGTAAGAATTCCTGTAGTTTCCTTTCTGTGTCTGCCATTAGAACTGTGTCATCTGCATATCTATTGTTATTAAGATTGTGGCTAACAATAATGAATCTCTCAAGATTGCCTCATTGTAAAAGTCCGGTGAGAAGACACACCCTTGTCTTATGTTTCTTTCTAAACAGGCATTAGCAAGTTTTGTCACCCTTATACTGTGATTGCAGGTGCAATTTTCATTTAACGTTGATACGAAGTACTGAGCGGAGACAATTTAGTCATAAATAATTGTTACTAGTCTAATTCATTTCACCGGCGAAACGACCTGTTATTTAAGTTCCCGAGCCTCAAATAACATTGCTTTTGGCAATTAGTCACACTGTTGAAAAGCCGATATTGTAATTTATCTTTTTTTTTTCAGAATATAAGACACACTGATGTATAAGACGCACGTTTATTTTGAGACAAAATTTCAGATAAAAAGCTACACTTAAATTAGGGAGCAGTTTGTACGGATAGGAGGGGAAGATAACGGTTAACCCTAGACTTGAACAGGTTAAGATTGTCAGGATCGGGGAAATATACTCTTGGGAGTCGGTTACACAGGGCAGTTGTTCGCTGTAAGTATCTGTTCAAGTGGAACTTCTCACCGAATGGAATACGGAGGGTTTTGGTTTACAGCATATCGACCTCAATGGTTTCAATGTCGACAAAATTTTTATTGCTGATAATATATTTTTCTTGAAAAATCTATTTCTAGGAATATTTATCCTTGAAGAAATCTATAGCTGGTCATATTTTTCTCAAAAAATGTATAATTGTTTGTATTGCTGGTATTTTTTTTTGTATTGCTGATAATAATTTCTCTTTCAAAAATTATTGCTGGTAATAATTTTTCTTATTACAAAGTATTTCTGGTATTAAAACCTATTTTTACACAAGTTTGGGTGTCAACTATTTGCCCATAGTTCGGACCCTAACAGGTGCTATCACCACGGGTCAGGGTGGACCTGGAAACACCAGCAATTAAGAGGTGGTTCCACGCTCTTCAAAACCTCCTGATCAGACGCCTTGCTGTTGGATGTAGTTTATTGTCTTACCCAGGACGCGGATGTAGTTTATCGTGATACCCAGGACGAGGAATACGTAGGGAATCTATCCAGGCAGTATTGAGATTTTTCTTTGTACTGAAGCAGTTTTCCAAGATTATCCTATTTATAAGTAATCGGTCTTTACATCCATAAGAGCCTTTTGCACCCTTTTTTTTTTGAGGTAGTATGTCATTTTTTTTCTAAGAAGCAATCTAGTTTGGTCAGAATAAATGTTAACAGTTTGTAAATAGTGAGAAGACATGTAATTGGTGTGTAGTTTTTAAGGATATTTGTGTCACCAGAAGGAAGGTAATTCCTTTGGTTACCTATTCCGGAATTTTACTAGGATCATTGACCATTTCTTGAAGGTTTTGTGTGCTGTATTTACATAATAGTGCCAAAATATAGAAATTTTATCTATTCCTGGAGATTTCTACTTGTGTGCTTTTTATTTTTAGTGGGCATTCAACACCCTCTTCTGTGATTCCCGCCCATGTTTGTCCTGGATTATTTTTCATCCATTCTACCTCTTGCGCAATCCAATCAGCTTCTTTGTTATGAGCAAGCCCATATATTTTCCAGAACTGTAAAACCTCTTTCATTTGGGGTGGTCACTTCAATATTTTGTTTGCCTATTTCTCTGTAAAATTTCTTCGCATCGGTTTGAACTTGTTCTGTCTGTAGAATTTTGATCTTTTTTCATAGAATCTGATTCTTTGAGCCTTCAGTTGTATTGTTTGCTTTATATTTTGCTTTAGCTGATAGGATTTCATTTTCATTCCTAATTTTGTATTTTTTTTTTATTTTTCTGCCTTTTCTAGTCATTAAATTTATTCCTCTTCTTCTTTTTTCTTCTTCTTCTAATTATTATTATTATTTATTATTATTATTATTATTAATAATAATAATGCTATTCTTCTCATAGCTTAATAATTAGTATTTGACTTTAAACAAATTTTACATTTTTTCAGAAACACCAAAATATGGAATCGTCCAAGAAAATCGGCATAATTGGTACTGGTGATTACGGCAGAGCACTGGCCAATCGACTACTTCGCTGTGGTTATGACGTCATTATGGGCAGCCGGGATCCTGATCACAGTCGTTTGACCCAGATCGATCAGCGACTGACTTTCGCCGAAGTGATAAACACAAAAGAACTTCTTGAAGACTCAAACATCGAAATCGTCTTCCTTGCAATTCATTCATGGAATTTCGAATCCTGTCTCTCGTCTTTCAGAAACCAGATCCAAGACAAGATCTTCATCGATATATCGAATCGGGAACGACCAAGCAAAACTGAATCGAACGCTGAAAAATTGGTTGAAGCTTTTCCTGGCCTGCGGGTCGTGAAAGCCTTCAATACCCTGTCTGCCTATGCCTTGGAAAGCGACACTTTTGGAGGCACGAAACAGGTTTTGATTGCAAGCGACGACACGACAGCCAAGGAAAAAGTGTCGAATTTGGCGCGTGAAATGGGATTCACACCCGTTGACTATGGCGTCTTGAGGGCATCCAGAGAGATCGAGGCTTACCCCTTGACGCTCATGGTTGGTTGGGGATGGCCGACCTTGTTCTGTTTAGGAATCTTTATCGGATGGAATATTGTTGTATGTATTAAATACATCTATTATTACTCACGATCAACAAGACGCTTTAAGTGGGACCAAGTCCCACTTGCTTATTTGAACAAACCTGTGTGCCTCACGGCCATTACTCTCCTTGCATTGTCCTATTTACCAGGCTGTCTGGCCGCATTTCTTCAAATAATAAACGGAACAAAATACAAACGCTTTCCGAACTGGTTTGATCGATGGTTAAAAGCTCGCAAAATGATCGGCCTCTACGCTCTCTTCTTTAGTGTATGGCACGTAGCAATATCCGGCATTTACATGTCGCCTGGTTACTTGGGATCGTGGTTTGAAAGCACTAAAGTCCATTTACCTGAGAACACCAGTGACTACGTTCTTGATTTCTCTGTCAGAATGAATCTTAGAGGTGAAGGTACGATCAGTGTCGGAATTTTGGCTTTACTACTGATGAGCATATTGGGTCTCTCTTCACTGCCGTCTGTTGGTGCCATTCTCAACTGGCGGGAATGGCGTTTCGTTCAAAGTCACTTGGGATACGTGACGCTGTTTCTCGTCACTGCGCATGTCGTCATTTTCGCGTTGCCCGGATGGATGAGGAGTCCGGTAAAGATGCTTTATCGAAGCACGTTCATGGCTTGTGTAATTCCCTTTATTGTTCTATTCATGAAACTTATTCTGATCACTCCCTGTGTAGGTGGCTACCTTGATAAAATACGGGGTGGCTGGGAAAGACGAAAATCATATCGAAAATCGACTGATCACTTCCTCATGAAGAATACAAATCTGGACATTAGCAGTTCGATTGAGACCTGAGATATCGATTTCGCCATTTTTGTCGCTGGAGACAAGAGAAAAACTTTTTCATTTGATTAATTTACTTCATCTGGAAACTAGTTTATTATGGACACGATGTATATATATATATATATATATATATATTATAGTTACGATGCATATGTATATTATTACGATGATGTTGCTATCCGTCTATCAAGGTTTTTGTTGCTATCTGATTGTCGGGATTCCAAACATTTAACAACAACAACAGCAGCAATATCTTTTAAATGAAACATAAAAAATAAAAATAATAGAAATAACATATATGTATATATTCTTTTCGGAATTGTAGAATAAAAATAGAATGTCCAATTTCCCTTGCAGTGAAGTTTCTTTTATAATTTAAGCATTCTTACCGTGATGTGAACTGTGTGAAGTTTGTCCACATTTTTTTTTATAAAACTGTGTGTCAGACATGGTATTTTCACCGAGCAGTGTCTGCATTCTCTTTAGTTGTTGGGATGACTTCATGTCAACCAAAGTCAAATTATTAAACAAGTCATGCAGCCTTCTTTCGTTGGATCTTGCCGTGCACCATATAGTAACATTTTTCAAGTTTTTGTTTTCCTCGGGCATTTGTTCCAGTAAATCAACAACTTCAATTGCAACGTCTGGAGGGAGTTTCTTCACTACAGACACAATGCATATGTATTTTATTAAGAAAACATCATTAGTGATTAAATAAGGAAATAATTTGTTTTGTATTTCTATAGTGAAATTAAAGTAATTTCCCATGTATAATACGCCTACATCCATTATATGCACCCCTAGAATTGTGCCGAAAGTGTGGGAAAATGCATCTGCTCACGCATAATATGCACCCCTTATTTGTTAATCAAACCCTATAAATTGCACCTTTCCAATTTCATTCCGGCCAGCGTTTCCTATTCTTATTAAAAATGGTTTTAAACATAGAATATTATTCTAATTTAGTTTTATGATAATTATTATTTTATTTTACATTTGCAAGTATTGTTAGGCCAATATGATTGTATTTGACATCCTTATGGGGTCGCAATCGCCGAATGTAAGTGTCAAAAGTCGTATGTTTGTGGTGAATGGTCATTTCGCAACTGAAATCAAGCTATGAAATGGCAATTTTTAAAGTATTTTTGCATATTATTTTTTAGAAAAAATGCGTATTATACATGGGGAATTACGGTAATTGATTTTCATTAACATTGCCCAATTAATGTCAATATTTTCTCCAGTAAAACTATTTCTATAGCAAAACACTGAAAGCAATTTCTCTCCATCGTATTTTCGTAATGATTTTCTCTAAAACTTCGCAGGAAATATTTTAATGAAGAGATCTTTTCATCTATGAATCGAATTATGCTCTTATCAATCAATGATGCTGCCTCTGAGTGGGGCCAATGTTGCTACTGATGCTAATTAAAAAAAAAAAGTGACAAAAAGATCTCTAGAATGCATAGGTTGGGTGGTTTGTTGGTTGTGTTTTGTTTAGCGGCATATCAAGGCCCTGTGGGTTATTTTAATGTCGGAATCTAAATATTTTGTGCGCAGTTTTTATAGATGTTTTAGTGATACAAGTCTTACTAATTAACCCATACCTGGGGGAGAAGAGATGGATTCATACCTTTCCTAAGTGTATTGGCGCGTAATTGAATGTAACCAACTTGACTGGAATTCGAACTCGGCTCACTGATGAACAATTCCGAATCATTGTTCCGTTACACCACTCACCCATCTAGGTATTGACCAGGTTCGACGTTGCTTAACTTCGGTGATCCAATAAAAAAAATACTTTACTGTATTTCAAAACGAATTTAAATTGATTGGAATATTTTTTTAAATCACTAAAAATGGCTGATTTTAGCCATATTTACAATTCTCAAAAATATACTATTCTGAAATTTAATTTGAGTGTGATTAGCTAATAAAAGTCAAATTAATCTGATTTGAAACAAATAGTACTTGTAGTTTAAAATATCACAGAAATGCAATTTTTTTAATACGGAGCTGAGTGTTTTTATGAGGTGTTGACAACTATCTCGATAGACTTATGTTTGGGATTTTTTTTCTGCAGGGCTCATATCTGTAAAAATTACTTGACGAATATAACGCGAGCACCGATTTTATGTAATATTTAACTGCCCAGTAATCTTATTATAAAAATATGTAATCTAATGTATTGTTGAATTTTAGGCATGTTTTTAATTTAATGATTGAGAACAGATTTTCTGTAATTAGGGGTCCTGTTTTGCAAAAAAATAAAAATAAATAAATAAAAAATGATGATTTAAATTCTCCAAGGACCTCTGCTTATAACTAATATAAACATTAAACCCGACATAAATTATTTTTTTCGAAATTTCATAAAATTTAACAGATGGGGAGAAATTGATATAAAAATTATATTTTTACCAAGATTTTCTAAAAAAAAAAAAAAAAGAATCTAAAATAATTTCATTCATTTGTGAATAAGTCTTAAAAGTTTCATTAATTTTTTTTTAAGCATATCACCCCTAGCAAGGCGGGAAGCCACTAGCACGCAAGGGGTTACAGAGGATTTGGAGTGAGAACAGATAGGAATGATAGAGGAAAGGATGAGGAGAAGGATAGTGGATAGATCAAGGCAACTAGAGATGTCGATTGACATTATATTTGAATATTTGGGGATTAAAGCTATCAGGGAAACAGGAGTAGGGAAGGGAGTTCCACAGGCGAGAGGTGAGAGACATGAAGCTATTGGAGTAGAAGAGGCGGCTAAAATCTGGCAGTTATTTGATTTTTGCAAGAATTTCCAAATCAATTTGCTTTTCACCGCAAAAAGAGGCTAAATTTTCCTATACTCGTTGATGCAAGAAAAAAAGATTACACAGAATTTTAAAAGTTCAAAAAAAGATTGAAAATATAATTTAATAATAAAAAATCCTTTGATCTTTCGTCTTAATAATAACAAAAGTTTTGACAATAAAACTTTGTTTTTATTAAGTTTGGGCCATTTTTTTCATCTCATTTTTTCGCGAGGTACCGACATATTTAAAACCTTTACTGCAGATCGAACTCAATTCCAAAGTTTTACCAATTTTACTGTTTAGTCAGTAATTCTTTCAATTTAGATTTTACACAAGGACCAATTCTCTGGAGCAAGTATCGAACAAAACTTTTCTGTAGAAAAGCCTTGTCAAATCTCATTCTACAAGGGAGGGGGATGCAAAACTTTCTTAGTCTACCGATTTCTTAAAATCTGGCTAAACACCAGAAATTGTTTTGAAATAGTTTTTTGGTTGGATATTTCTGCACCCAACGAAGTACGCCAAGAATTCTCGATTGGGTACTTCCATACCGAATAAGGCTTCGTCCAGTTCACGACACACAAATTATGAAACATTTTATCAAAGATAAAACTCTTCAGATATTGCGTCACTTAAATAAAACACGGGACGCTTTCATATCTAATCTTTTTTCTAATTTAATTAAAAGTAGTTTAAGTACAAACTAATTAGTGAAAGTAATCATAAACTATTAAACTTTACAAAATAAATCTTTCAGTTACTGACAACCACAATTTTTATTATCAGGTCATCCCATAAGTTCCGTCCGAATTTTGAATAAAGAAAACAAGTGACCAAATGTTACATTTAATTACAGATTCAATCAACAATGTATTTTCCCTGATTATCTATGACGTCCTTCCATCTATTAAAAAGCTTACTAATTCCATTACTGTAAAATTCTTTTGGCTTTGATTCGAAGAACTCACAAATGTCAGTTTTAACCTCTTCCTGTGTCACAAAAGCTGTTTCTTCCAAATGATTCTTCAAGCTACGAAACAAATGGTAGTCTGAAGGAGCAAGATCGGGAGAATAAGGTGGAAGAGGAATTTTCTCCCAACTAAGTTCTTCGATCTTTTGTGACGTGATTCTTGCTGTGTGGGATCGCGCATTGCCCTGATGAAACATCACCACTTTTCGATTCACTAGAGCAGTTTTTTCTCCTCAAAGCTTGGTTCAAACGCTCTAATTGCTGACAGTATATTTGAGCATTAATTGTTGCATTAGGTGGTAAGAATTCAAAGTGGATTATTCCTTGGCGATCCCACTAGATTGAAAGAAGAAACTTTTGCCCATGAATTTCCCTTCTCGGCTGTGGCTGGGATCCAAGCCACTGTCTACGACGCTTAACATTTCGATAAAAGATCCATTTTTCGTCGCCAGTCACAAGTCTATCCAAAAAAGGTGAAGCAAGTTGGCGAGAATGGCGAAAAGAGCGGGATTTGATGTTGTTTTCAGACAATTCATGAGGCACCCATTTTCCAAGTTTAGGAAGATGACAATGAACAGTGGTATTGTTTGAACTTTGAACCACTGCCAATTCCTCAACTGATAAAGCAGGATTTTCTTCAAGGGCTGCTTCAAGAAGCTTTTCATCAAACTCAACTGGACGTCCGGTTCGATCTTCATCTTCAAGGTTAAAATCTCTACCTCTGAATTTTGCAAACCATCTTCTGCAAGTTCTTTCATTCACATATTCCTCTCCATAAACTGAGTGAATGTTTCTAGCCGTTTCGGCTGCTGAGTTTCCTTTCTTGAACTCATAAAGAATTATGTGCCTCAAATGATTCTTGGGTACTTCCATGTTAGCAGGGTTTTAATCAAACAAAATTTAATTTTATTGTTCTCTGAAATAAAATTTGATCAGTTTAAATGCATCTAAACATAAAAACAATGTTCAGCTTTATTAGACATTATAAAATACTCTTTAAATTTCGTTCATTTTAAAAAAAGGTAAAATTCGGACAGAATTTATGGGATGACCTGATATTTGGAACACAGAGACATTATGAAGATATAACATTTTCAACCCCATACTTACCTAAACAAAATAGACCAAACCCAGATATAAGAGAAACCCGGATATAAGAGACTTCTTCTCCGGTCCCGACAACTCTCTTATATCCGGGTTACACTGTACCCAAAACTGTACAAATCAAATTAAAGAGGAGGAAGCGAAGAGGAGGGGGAAGAATGGAACCTTTTTGTTAGTTTATCCCCCCCCACAACACACACACACACAAAAATGTAAAGTTATAAATTTTCAATCAAAGTTTGTTTTTTTATTTAATCTTTGGCACTCTTTTGAAATTTAAAATTTTAAAATCAAAATTTGTTTAGCTTGCCTCGCAACAAATCCAACTGTCAGAATGAAAAAATAGCAAATATCAGGGAGTTATTTACATTTTGTAAGTACGGTTGATGTTCGAGGTACTTAAAAGGATTTTTTTTGCAATTTAAAAAAAAATATAAAAAAATAATCTGTTTTTGGCTTGTTTAGCGCGGGTGAATGTAGATACCCCCTACACACACACTTAGAAATCGCACCCCTGAGTCGCCCACATTTGGGGCGATCTAAAACGTCAACCCAACCGAAGTTCAATGGAAGGGTCTTGAGAATTTGGTGTGAATTTTAATAAATATAAATTCTTTTTATATTGGGTTGAATTAACGGAAAAGACCCAGAAGGACAAATCCAAGAGAAAGCTTTCGATGTGACACAGGAGCAGTTTACTGTTGGGATAGAAAAAAAAAAACAACAACAGAAAAATGGCACTTGTGGGTTATCTGTCGTCACCATTTAAATTATGTATTGGTGATCTTTTATAAAGTTAGATGTGGTATTTAAAATGCTTTTTTTTAATTGTTCTTTAATTAATTATTTTATCTTTTCACACCAGTGTTTCTCAACATTTGTAAGCAACGGCACACCTCAGGACAAATGAAAATATCATAGCACACATAGTATAGATTTTTTTTAAAAAATACACTCACAAATATGAACTTACTTTCAATGTTTCTATTTAATTATTTCTGCAGCTTATTTAGTGTGAAACATTTGCCAGGTGTTTTTTTTTTTTTCACGATTTCTTCAATGGTTGGTCGAATGTGAGATAAGCAGCCACCCCTATTTCTTCGTCAGCTGAGCGTAGTTTTTACGCTTTTTATTTTTGATGTTATTTAGGGTTGAGGAGCTTAATTCCCATAAATAAGAAGTAGAAAATTGCAATAAAACTGCTAAAGTCTTTTTTTGTTGTGTAGGAACCTACCACCCCTCTTGAAGATGAACTCGTCTACAAACAAGGACGTTAGATAGTGGCATGTCAAAAGACAGTGTCGGAGAAGTTCTGGGCTGACTTCCGACGTCTGTCGAACTCTCTGCGTTAGCAGAGAGGAACCCGGACGAGCCTTTGCCGAAGGGCAAGGTTTCGTCCGGGGAGGTAGACAGGTCCTGAACCCGTCTAATCGGCTTCAAAAGGCTATTTTTTTGGCCGAGCCTACGGGCTCGGAGAAACCCACAATAAAACCGGCCTTGTGCCATATTCGTTTCCCGTGGGTGAAATGATAAATACCGAAGTTCTGGACTGAGTTAGTTATAGACTACTCAGGCGATATCTGTACCAACTTACCAACCGAATAAACCCCATTTTATTGTTACATGTTATTTGGCGTTTGTCTTTATTAACCCCAAATTAACATCATAACATTTTTTTAAGCTAATGTGGAATAAAAAAGTTTAATACTTATTCATCTACTAATTTATACTACTTCTACTCTCTCTCTCTCTATATATATATATATGCCGTGACAATATTTCGCGGCACGCTAGATGAGAATCACTGCTTGCACTCTGCTAAATGAATCTTTGGAATAGTTTTGTTTGTTTTTTACACATCTGTATTTGTGAAAAAGTTGAAAAATTAATTTTAAAAAATGGCGACAGATAACCCACGATTAACCCAAAAAGTTTCGAAAACGCAATTAAATTTTTCCGCCAAGAAAAAAAATGTATTTAATAAGCTGATGATAAAGAACTACCAGTTTGAATTCTATTGCTTTCCTACTGCGACTTTGCAGCGTGCCCGGTAAACGGAACACTAACCAATTAAACATTGCTGCTGTATTTTTTATTTTATTTTAATCACGTGTTTAAACGAATTATTTATTCACATTATGAGATGAAAAGTATTTTTCTTTTTTATTATGGATGTTTTTTTTATCAATCTAATTCTTGTTTTTTGACGATGACCTGAGGTCGGGAATTAAACAATTTGAAAATAATTCATTTTTAACACGTTTTTTTTGTTTTCTTTTGTCATCGTCTTTTAATTCAAAACAGATTTTATTTATTTCAGCCAATATGCCGAACTGTTTTTATAAACGTTGCCAAATATTTTTCTGGGATTTTTTGGGAGATGAATCAACGGGATTTTCCCCCCATCCTATCGTATGGCCTTATTCGCTTCTTCTAAAAGTGTTTTGGGGGAATTTTATTTATTTCTAGCCACACCTCCATTTCTCCCAACGAGTGTCAACTCGACCTGGACACACGTTGAGAGAGAGAGAGAGAGAGAGAGAGAGAGAGAGAGAGAGAGAGAAAACGAATAGAAATAACAAAAAAGAAAGGCAACAAGAGAAAGAGAGAGAGACTAAAATGCAATTTTACTTTTAGTTTTTACAGTTTAACTCTACGTTCGATAACCCAATCTAATATTTTTGTTCGTTTTACAACTGCATTAACGAAAGAGTCGTTTCCGTTTCCGTATTATTCATTTTACTTCTTCTTACGATCATTTTAAAAGATAGTTGGAAATTCAAGACTTTTTTTTTTTTTTAGTTTTTAGCGAGTTTTCCGTCGTGAAAGCAACTTAAAATTCACTTCTTTTGCAGTTGCAACAACAATGCCGACAAGACGAAGAAAGTTACTTTTTTAGTTACAACTTTTTACAAGCACCAAGTTTTTTCGTCGGTGTCATTTTCTGTAACGCCTCATTTAATAGGCGAACAAATACGTAACTTTGCACTTCAAGGTAAGTTTATCTTTTTATTCGTAACGTAAAAAAAATAAATTTAAATAAATAAATGATAAAAATTTCGTGAGAAAACAAAGAAAAGAGGATTTTTACTTAGTTACTAAAAATTCTTTTTTCTTTGTTTATTTACAAAAAAAAAAAAAAATGAAACAAAAACCTATCCCCCAGAACACTTCGTCATAAAAAGGTTTTTTAGTCTCTTGTACACCAGTTTTACGAGTTCGATCCTTAGTGAGGACGCTTCTGTGTCACGTTAACAAGAATCTGGTTGACCATTATTACTACTGTGTAGTAAGTTCGATCCGCACTGGGTGCCGCATACAAAATTCAATAATAACCCAACAAAAGCGGATAAAAACAATCAATCAAGCTCAGAATGAGGTAATGGCTAAACAAGTTTCTTCTGGCTGACCGTTACTTTTCAGTGGCCCATTCAAAATTTGACCTTAAATAATCTAAGTGTTAAAATTTAAATCAACCAATCAACTCTCAATTAGTGCTTCATTTTTATGACCTTGTGCCCGACAAAGCCAAACTTCTACCTTACTTGAAACGTTATTTTTAGTAGATACGCGTGTTTGAAATAGATGTCTATTTTTTTTTTTTAATTTTTTTAAACAGTCTGTATTACGTTTATAGACCTGGCACTTGAGAAATCTTAAGGAAATGTTCTCGCTGAGACGTCTGTTTCAAATACGAGTATCCAATAAAAATAATGTTTAAAGTAATTAAAATGTTGTTTTAAACATTAATTCTATTTATCTATCTATCTCTGTTCATATCTATCTAACTAGGTCTGTTCATATCTATCTATCTAGGTCTGTTCATATCTATCTATCTATCTATCTAACTATGTCTGTTCATATCTATCTAACTATGTCTGTTCATATCTATCTATCTATCTATCTATCTAACTATGTCTGTTCATATCTATCTATCTATCTATCTATCAAACTAGGTCTGTTCATATCTATCTATCTATCTATCTATCTATCTAGGTCTGTTCATATCTAGCTAGCCATTCAAATCTATGTACCTACGTACATCTATTCATTGAAATAGAGGAAATAAATATAAGACAGAAAATCAGCAATAGCAACTGAAACACTTGTTCCGACTAAAAATAGCCTTTTTATACTCATAAGAAATAATATAGGCTAAAAATCTGATATCAAATTTTATAAAAGCTATATTGAACACTTAACTGGTAACTTTACAAATTATTATTTTTCATATATATATATATATATATATATATATATATATTGAACAATAAAAAATATTAAAAAATTAAGATTTTCAGACACAGTGCGTTGTATATTTTCGTTTTACTTCAAAATTCACTTAATAGAAATGTGAAAATTGCACAGATAATTTCATTCATCTACTAGAATGAATATTATATCTCTTGATATTGAGCACTCTAATTTATAAAGACTGCTTGCCTTAAAAGCGTTATCTCCCAAAATGTCACTGGTCAACTGTTTTTTCTTTCTTTTCTTTCCTGTTTTTTTTTTGTTTGTTTTGTAAAATACAGCATGTTATATAAATGCTAATTTGATGGCATCCTTATTTGAATAGTTTAACAAATATCAATCGCGTCTTATATGAGAACATAAGCCATGTGCTTGTCGACTCCTTGTGCTTTTATCTTGATTAACTCCATAACACTTTAATTAAATGTAATAGGAAAGCGGGTTTTATATTCCGTTTAATACGGCCATTATGTGTTACACAATCGCGTATTAGGCTAGAGATCATATGACAGCAATTTGCTAACCTATTAAAGCTTAATTTTCATTCGGTGCCCCATTATCGAGGTCTTGTACTAAAAAAAAACCCAAAAACAAATCTCGTAGTTGGGAATACTCCAGTTGGCGCAACACAATCATCCTATTCTCATTGTGTCTCCTCGATATGAATTTGTTTAGTTTTGCTTCAATCTTCAAAGACATTTTTAAGCGGTGAACTGTTCGTTTTTTAACCTTATGGATTTTTTTTACAGTAAGTTTCACCCTGTACAAGGCCCGGGGGCCACTCAAGGTAGAGGGTGAACTATAGGTTAGTTTATATGGATAGGAGGGGAAGATAACGGTTGACTCTAGACTTGAACAGGTTAAAATTGTAGTGATCGGGGTAAACATCCTCAGGGTAGTGGTTCGCGGAAAGAAGCTGTTTGAGTGGAACATTCTTCTCACCGATGGAATACGGAGAGAATGTGGGTGGTTTGCTACGATGTAAGTGTCATGGCGGGTCCTAGAAGCGAAGATTAGACCTGGTGGAACTAAGGATTGTAGTTCGTCCGAGCACTTTCAATGGTAGAATCGAGAGGGCAGCGAGAGGTTTGCCACATCCCGCCTGTGTGTGTGTGAGAGAGAGAGAGGTTGGAGGGTGGAAAATAATTCGTCATCAACGACGACTCGGAGGCGCTTTTGGAGTTAAATTAATTAAATCAATTCTAGAAAGTGAGGACTTGGCAGCTCACGCTTAAATATGGCAACAGTACTCCATTTTCGGCCTCGTGGTTTCACACTTTGCCTTTGTAGACCGTGCATGTGTCTTTTCGTTCCTGCTGAATAATAATAATAAAAAAAGAAAAACAAATTTAACAAATCACCTGACTGAAAATAAAGAAAAAGAAAAGGCGGCCTTATCGTTCGAAATCTCTTCTTGCAGTGATAAACGCCGAGAGCCGCACGTGATTTGACGGTGAAGTACAGGTTGAGAGGATCAAACTTAATTAAATCTCGAGTTTATTTTCTTCAAAATCTGTGAAACGAATTGACAAAGAAAATCATGTTTTTGTCCTTTTAAATTATTAAAATTAAATCCTTTAAAAATCTATTTTTTTTATTTTTTGAGATCTTCTTTGTGTCACTTCAGCACGTGGTGGACCATGGCTCTCCACAACTTCCCGTCCTTTTTAGCTCTTAGTAAGTTTTGCCTTTTTGCAATTCCTGTTCTGTCAACCACTCCCGCAGGCTTGTTAAGCAAGTTATTTTCTGCTTTCCTCTGTCCTTCTGGCTGTCAATATATCTTGTGAGTGTGTCATTCCCCAAGCACCTTTCTTCATTATGTGTCCGAGAGATTTCAACTCTGTCTGACTGATTCTAAGCATAAGGGTCCTTTTTGGATCTATTAAAACTTGTTTCCTTAAAATTTCATCGTTACTCACATATTCAGTCCATGGTATTCTCAGCATCCTTCTGTAGAACCACATTTCTGTTGCTTCATGTCTCTTCATCTGTGAGGTGATTGTCCATTATTTGATACCGATATTACATAGCATTTCATTACCCTTTTTTTGTTTCTAACTCAATTTTCATGTTTCTTTGCTTGACTTTTGCAAGGCATCTTTTTCTATTCAAATGAACCCTTGCATTTCGGTGTTGCACTTTCAGAAATATATGAACTGTTAGGCAACGGCTTTTTCAGATCAGTGGTTAAAATGACTTTGAGCGACGGAATCTTGTGGGTCTTAGAGAGGACCACATTTCTTCGAATCCCGTAAACTGGCACTATACAATCATAAAGATCTGTAACAAATAACAGAAACCACATCACTTGAGAAATTTTAACGGGAACAACGGCTAAAATGGATAGCACATGTAATTCAAAGAGAAAATGATGACATAATCAAGATGTTGTCATTCCACACAACTTCAAATAAAAGGCTAGGAAGGAAACCTCCATCATTACTGGAAAGAGTGATAACAGCTACTGGGCTTGAGAAACCTATTTTCCTTAAAATTTATTTTAAGAGAAAGATTTTCTAAACTTCAACCGACAGTGATACTGGCTGGTCGGTCAATTAAACTTATAAGGAAACAAGTATTATTACCGTTACCTTTATTTTTTCCTTTCGCTGTTAAAACAATTCTTAAATATATAATTATTTGTACTTGCTTCATTTTGCTGTCTCAAAGTTGTAATTCGCATTTTAAGGCGTTCCTTTTGCTGACAACCGTAAATAATGTCTTTTTACAATTGATGTTTAGTCCTTTCTTCTTGCTTTCCTTCATTACCTTCTGTAAGAATTCCTGTAGTTTCCTTTCTGTGTCTGCCATTAGAACTGTGTCATCTGCATATCTATTGTTATTAAGATTGTGGCTAACAATAATGAATCTCTCAAGATTGCCTCATTGTAAAAGTCCGGTGAGAAGACACACCCTTGTCTTATGTTTCTTTCTAAACAGGCATTAGCAAGTTTTGTCACCCTTATACTGTGATTGCAGGTGCAATTTTCATTTAACGTTGATACGAAGTACTGAGCGGAGACAATTTAGTCATAAATAATTGTTACTAGTCTAATTCATTTCACCGGCGAAACGACCTGTTATTTAAGTTCCCGAGCCTCAAATAACATTGCTTTTGGCAATTAGTCACACTGTTGAAAAGCCGATATTGTAATTTATCTTTTTTTTTTTGTTCAATATAAGACACACTGATGTATAAGACGCACGTTTATTTTGAGACAAAATTTCAGATAAAAAGCTACACTTAAATTAGGGAGCAGTTTGTACGGATAGGAGGGAAGATAACGGTTAACCCTAGACTTGAACAGGTTAAGATTGTCAGGATCGGGGAAATATACTCTTGGGAGTCGGTTACACAGGGCAGTTGTTCGCTGTAAGTATCTGTTCAAGTGGAACTTCTCACCGAATGGAATACGGAGGGTTTTGGTTTACAGCATATCGACCTCAATGGTTTCAATGTCGACAAAATTTTTATTGCTGATAATATATTTTTCTTGAAAAATCTATTTCTAGGAATATTTATCCTTGAAGAAATCTATAGCTGGTCATATTTTTCTCAAAAATGTATAATTGTTTGTATTGCTGGTATTTTTTTTTTAAGTATTGCTGATAATAATTTCTCTTTCAAAAATTATTGCTGGTAATAATTTTTTCTTATTACAAAGTATTTCTGGTATTAAAACCTATTTTTACACAAGTTTGGGTGTCAACTATTTGCCCATAGTTCGGACCCTAACAGGTGCTATCACCACGGGTCAGGGTGGACCTGGAAACACCAGCAATTAAGAGGTGGTTCCACGCTCTTCAAAACCTCCTGATCAGACGCCTTGCTGTTGGATGTAGTTTATTGTCTTACCCAGGACGCGGATGTAGTTTATCGTGATACCCAGGACGAGGAATACGTAGGGAATCTATCCAGGCAGTATTGAGATTTTTCTTTGTACTGAAGCAGTTTTCCAAGATTATCCTATTTATAAGTAATTGGTCTTTACATCCATAAGAGCCTTTTGCACCCTTTTTTGTTTGAGGTAGTATGTCATTTTTTCTAAGAAGCAATCTAGTTTGGTCAGAATAAATGTTAACAGTTTGTAAATAGTGAGAAGACATGTAATTGGTCTGTAGTTTTTAAGGATATTTGTGTCACCAGAAGGAAGGTAATTCCTTTGGTTACCTATTCCGGAATTTTACTAGGATCATTGACCATTTCTTGAAGGTTTTGTGTGCTGTATTTACATAATAGTGCCAAAATATAGAAATTTTATCTATTCCTGGAGATTTCTACTTGTGTGCTTTTTATTTTTAGTGGGCATTCAACACCCTCTTCTGTGATTCCCGCCCATGTTTGTCCTGGATTATTTTTCATCCATTCTACCTCTTGCGCAATCCAATCAGCTTCTTTGTTATGAGCAAGCCCATATATTTTCCAGAACTGTAAAACCTCTTTCATTTGGGGTGGTCACTTCAATATTTTGTTTGCCTATTTCTCTGTAAAATTTCTTCGCATCGGTTTGAAAGATCTTGTTCTGTCTGTAGAATTTTGATCTTTTTTCATAGTCAGATTCTTTGAGCCTTCAGTTGTATTGTTTGCTTTATATTTTTCTTTAGCTGATAGGATTTCATTTTCATTCCTAATTTTGTATTTTTTTTTTATTTTTCTGCCTTTTCTAGTCATTAAATTTATTCCTCTTCTTCTTTTTTCTTCTTCTTCTAATTATTATTATTATTTATTATTATTATTATTAATAATAATAATGCTATTCTTCTCATAGCTTAATAATTAGTATTTGACTTTAAACAAATTTTAAATTTTTTCAGAAACACCAAAATATGGAATCGTCCAAGAAAATCGGCATAATTGGTACTGGTGATTACGGCAGAGCACTGGCCAATCGACTACTTCGCTGTGGTTATGACGTCATTATGGGCAGCCGGGATCCTGATCACAGTCGTTTGACCCAGATCGATCAGCGACTGACTTTCGCCGAAGTGATAAACACAAAAGAACTTCTTGAAGACTCAAACATCGAAATCGTCTTCCTTGCAATTCATTCATGGAATTTCGAATCCTGTCTCTCGTCTTTCAGAAACCAGATCCAAGACAAGATCTTCATCGATATATCGAATCGGGAACGACCAAGCAAAACCGAATCGAACGCTGAAAAAAATTGGTTGAAGCTTTTCCTGGCCTGCGGGTCGTGAAAGCCTTCAATACCCTGTCTGCCTATGCCTTGGAAAGCGACACTTTTTTGGAGGCACGAAACAGGTTTTGATTGCAAGCGACGACACGACAGCCAAGGAAAAAAGTGTCGAATTTGGCGCGTGAAATGGGATTCACACCCGTTGACTATGGCGTCTTGAGGGCATCCAGAGAGATCGAGGCTTACCCCTTGACGCTCATGGTTGGTTGGGGATGGCCGACCTTGTTCTGTTTAGGAATCTTTATCGGATGGACTATTGCTGTATGTATTAAATACATCTATTATTACTCACGATCAACAAAACGCTTTAAGTGGGAGAAAGTCCCACTTGCTTATTTGAACAAACCTGTGTGCCTCACGGCCATTACTCTCCTTGCATTGTCCTATTTACCAGGCTGTCTAGCCGCATTTCTTCAAATAATAAACGGAACAAAATACAAACGCTTTCCGAACTGGTTTGATCGATGGTTAAAAGCTCGCAAAATGATCGGCCTCTACGCTCTCTTCTTTAGTGTATGGCACGTAGCAATATCCGGCATTTACATGTCACCTGGTTACTTGGGATCGTGGTTTGAAAGCACTGAAGTCCATTTACCTGAGAATACCAGTGACTACGTTCTTGATTTCTCTGTCAGAATGAATCTAAAAGGTGAAGGTACGATCAGTGTCGGAATTTTGGCTTTACTACTGATGAGCATATTGGGTCTCTCTTCACTGCCGTCTGTTGGTGCCATTCTCAACTGGCGGGAATGGCGTTTCGTTCAAAGTCACTTGGGATACGTGACGCTGTTTCTCGTCACTGCGCATGTCGTCATTTTAGCGTTGCCCGGATGGATGAGGAGTCCGGTAAAGATGCTTTATCGAAACTCGTTCATGGCTTGTGTAATTCCCTTTATTGTTCTATTCATGAAACTTATTCTGATCACTCCCTGTGTAGGTGGCTACCTTGATAAAATACGGGGTGGCTGGGAAAGACGAAAACCATATCGAAAATCGACTGATCACTTCCTCGTGAAGTATACAAATATGGACATTAGCAGTTCGATTGAGACCTGAGATATTGATTTCGCCATTTTTGTCGCTGGAGACAAGAGAAAAACCTTTTCATTTGATTAATTTACTTCATCTGGAAACTAGTTTATTATGGACACGATGGATATACGATATATATATATATATATATATATATATATATATATATATATATATTTTTGCATATGTATATTATTACGATGATGTTGCTATCCGTCTATCAAGGTTTTTTGTTGCTATCTGATTGTCGGGATTCCAAACATTTAACAACAACAACAGCAGCAATATCTTTTAAATGAAACATAAAAATAAAAATAATAGAAATAACATATATGTATATATTCTTTTCGGAATTGTAGAATAAAAATAGAATGTCCAATTTCCCTTGCAGTGAAGTTTCTTTTTATAATTTAAGCATTCTTACCGTGATGTGAACTGTGTGAAGTTTGTCCACATTTTTTTTTATAAAACTGTGTGTCAGACATGGTATTTTCACCGAGCAGTGTCTGCATTCTCTTTAGTTGTTGGGATGACTTCATGTCAACCAAAGTCAAATTATTAAACAAGTCATGCAGCCTTCTTTCGTTGGATCTTGCCGTGCACCATATAGTAACATTTTTCAAGTTTTTGTTTTCCTCGGGCATTTGTTCCAGTAAATCAACAACTTCAATTGCAACGTCTGGAGGGAGTTTCTTCACTACAGACACAATGCATATGTATTTTATTAAGAAAACATCATTAGTGATTAAATAAGGAAATAATTTGTTTTGTATTTCTATAGTGAAATTAAAGTAATTTCCCATGTATAATACGCCTACATCCATTATATGCACCCCTAGAATTGTGCCGAAAGTGTGGGAAAATGCATCTGCTCACGCATAATACACACCCCTTATTTGTTAATCAAACCCTATAAATTGCACCTTTCCAATTTCATTCCGGCCAGCGTTTCCTATTCTTATTAAAAATGGTTTTAAACATAGAATATTATTCTAATTTAGTTTTATGATAATTATTATTTTATTTTACATTTGTAAGTATTGTTAGGCCAATATGATTGTATTTGACATCCTTATGGGGTCGCAATCGCCGAATGTAAGTGTCAAAAGTCGTATGTTTGTGGTGAATGGTCATTTCGCAACTGAAATCAAGCTATGAAATGGCAATTTTAAAAGTATTTTTTGCATATTATTTTTAAAAAATGCGTATTATACATGGGGAATTACGGTAATTGATTTTCATTAACATTGCCCAATTAATGTCAATATTTTCTCCAGTAAAACTATTTCTATAGCAAAACACTGAAAGCAATTTCTCTCCATCGTATTTTCGTAATGATTTTCTCTAAAACTTCGCAGGAAATATTTTAATGAAGAGATCTTTTCATCTATGAATCGAATTATGCTCTTATCAATCAATGATGCTGCCTCTGAGTGAGGCCAATGTTGCTACTGATGCTAATTAAAAAAAAAAAAGTGACAAAAAGATCTCTAGAATGCATAGGTTGGGTGGTTTGTTGGTTGTGTTTTGTTTAGCGGCATATCAAGGCCCTGTGGGTTATTTTAATGTCGGAATCTAAATATTTTGTGCGCAGTTTTTATAGATGTTTTAGTGATACAAGTCTTACTAATTAACCCATACCTGGGGGAGAAGAGATGGATTCATACCTTTCCTAAGTGTATTGGCGCGTAATTGAATGTAACCAACTTGACTGGAATTCGAACTCGGCTCACTGATGAACAATTCCGAATCATTGTTCCGTTACACCACTCACCCATCTAGGTATTGACCAGGTTCGACGTTGCTTAACTTCGGTGATCCAATAAAAAAAATACTTTACTGTATTTCAAAACGAATTTAAATTGATTGGAATATTTTTTTAAATCACTAAAAATGGCTGATTTTAGCCATATTTACAATTCTCAAAAATATACTATTCTGAAATTTAATTTGAGTGTGATTAGCTAATAAAAGTCAAATTAATCTGATTTGAAACAAATAGTACTTGTAGTTTAAAATATCACAGAAATGCAATTTTTTTAATACGGAGCTGAGTGTTTTTATGAGGTGTTGACAACTATCTCGATAGACTTATGTTTGGGATTTTTTTTTTGCAGGGCTCATATCTGTAAAAATTACTTGACGAATATAACGCGAGCACCGATTTTATGTAATATTTAACTGCCCAGTAATCTTATTATAAAAATATGTAATCTAATGTATTGTTGAATTTTAGGCATGTTTTTAATTTAATGATTGAGAACAGATTTTCTGTAATTAGGGGTCCTGTTTTGCAAAAAAATAAAAATAAATAAATAAAAAATGATGATTTAAATTCTCCAAGGACCTCTGCTTATAACTAATATAAACATTAAACCCGACATAAATTATTTTTTTCGAAATTTCATAAAATTTAACAGATGGGGAGAAATTGATATAAAAATTATATTTTTACCAAGATTTTCTAAAAAAAAAAAAAAAAGAATCTAAAATAATTTCATTCATTTGTGAATAAGTCTTAAAAGTTTCATTAATTTTTTTTTTAAGCATATCACCCTAGCAAGGCGGGAAGCCACTAGCACGCAAAGGGTTACAGAGGATTTGGAGGAGAACAGATAGGAATGATAGAGGAAAGGATGAGGAGAAGGATAGTGGATAGATCAAGGCAACTAGAGATGTCGATTGACATTATATTTGAATATTTGGGGATTAAAGCTATCAGTGAAACAGGAGTAGGGAAGGGAGTTCCACAGGCGAGAGGTGAGAGACATGAAGCTATTGGAGTAGAAGAGGCGGCGAAAATCTGGCAGTTATTTGATTTTTGCAAGAATTTCCAAATCAATTTGCTTTTCACCGCAAAAAGAGGCTAAATTTTCCTATACTCGTTGATGCAAGAAAAAAAGATTACACAGAATTTTAAAAGTTCAAAAAAAGATTGAAAATATAATTTAATAATAAAAAATCCTTTGATCTTTCGTCTTAATAATAACATAAAAGTTTTGACAATAAAACTTTGTTTTTATTAAGTTTGGGCCATTTTTTTCATCTCATTTTTTCGCGAGGTACCGACATATTTAAAACCTTTACTGCAGATCGAACTCAATTCCAAAGTTTTACCAATTTTGCTGTTTAGTCAGTAATTCTTTCAATTTAGATTTTACACAAGGACCAATTCTCTGGAGCAAGTATCGAACAAAACTTTTCTGTAGAAAAATTGTCAAATCTCATTCTACAAGGGAGGGGGGATGCAAAACTTTCTTAGTCTACCGATTTCTTAAAATCTGGCTAAACACCAGAAATTGTTTTGAAATAGTTTTTTTTGGTTGGATATTTCTGCACCCAACGAAGTACGCCAAGAATTCTCGATTGGGTACTTCCATACCGAATAAGGCTTCGTCCAGTTCACGACACACAAATTATGAAACATTTTATCAAAGATAAAACTCTTCAGATATTGCGTCACTTAAATAAAACACAGGACGCTTTCATATCTAATCTTTTTTCTAATTTAATTAAAAGTAGTTTAAGTACAAACTAATTAGTGAAAGTAATCATAAACTATTAAACTTTACAAAATAAATCTTTCAGTTACTGACAACCACAATTTTTATTATCAGGTCATCCCATAAGTTCCGTCCGAATTTTGAATAAAGAAAACAAGTGACCATATGTTACATTTAATTACAGATTCAATCAACAATGTATTTTCCCTGATTATCTATGACGTCCTTCCATCTATTAAAAAGCTTACTAATTCCATTACTGTAAAATTCTTTTGGCTTTGATTCGAAGAACTCACAAATGTCAGTTTTAACCTCTTCCTGTGTTACAAAAGCTGTTTCTTCCAAATGATTCTTCAAGCTACAAAACAAATGGTAGTCTGAAGGAGCAAGATCGGGAGAATAAGGTGGATGAGGAATTTTCTCCCAACCAAGTTCTTCGACATTTTGTGACGTGATTCTTGCTGTGTGGGATCGCGCATTGTCCTGATAAAACATCACCTCTTTTCGATTCACTAGAGCAGGTTTTTTTCCTCAAAGCTTGGTTCAAACGCTCTAATTGCTGACAGTATATTTGAGCATTAATTGTTGCATTAGGTGGTAAGAATTCAAAGTGGATTATTCCTTGGCGATCCCACCAGATTGAAAGAAGAACCTTTTGCCCATGAATTTCCCTTCTCGGCTGTGGCTGGGGTCCTTCCCTTTTCCAAGCCACTGTCTACGACGCTTAACATTTCGATAAAAGATCCATTTTTCGTCGCCAGTCACAAGTCTATCCAAAAAAGGTGAAACAAGTTGGCGAGAATGGAGAGAAAAGAGATGTCAACTCAGGATTTGATGTTGTTTTCAGACAATTCATGAGGCACCCATTTTCCAAGTTTAGGAACTTTTCCAAGTTGTTGAAGATGACAATGAACAGTGGTATTGTTTGAACTTTGAACCACTGCCAATTCCTCAACTGATAAAGCAGGATTTTCTTCAAGGGTTGCTTCAAGAAGCTTTTCATCAAACTCAACTGGACGTCCGGTTCGATCTTCATCTTCAAGGGTGAAATCTCCACCTCTGAATTTTGCAAACCATCTTCTGCAAGTTCTTTCATTCACATATTCCTCTCCATAAACTGAGTGAATGTTTCTAGCCGTTTCGGCTGCTGAGTTTCCTTTCTTGAACTCATAAAGAATTATGTGCCTCAAATGATTCTTGGGTACTTCCATGTTAGCAGGGTTTTAATCAAACAAAATTTAATTTTATTGTTCTCTGAAATAAAATTTGATCAGTTTAAATGCATCTAAACATAAAAGCAATGGCCAGCTT